TAAACTTTAAAATTTAAAATTTAAAATTTAAAATTTAAAATTTAAAATTTAAAATTTAAAATTTAAAATTTAAAATTTAAAATTTAAAATTTAAAATTGAAAGTTTAAAATTTAAAATTTAAAATTTAAAATAAAATATTTAAAGTTAAAAATTTAAAATATAAAAAATTAATATTTAAAATTTTCAATCTAAAATTTTATAATTATAATATAATTTTAAAATTTAAAAAACTTAAAATTCAAAATTTAAAGTCTGTAATTAAAATTTAAGATTTGAAATTTAAAATTTATAATTTAAAACATAAAATATATTCCCATTGAAGCAAAAACCTAGCACAACCTTAATTTTTCAAAATGTTCTAATTTAAATAAGAGCTTGACATGTTAATTTTCAAATAAGTATAGTATAATATTCATCAAAAAATATTATACTCTCTCTGTTCCACAAAATCTTCTCCTTTCCTTTTTCATCTGTCTCCAAAAACTTTCTCATTTCTATTAGAAAATCACTTTTACCCCTACTAATTTTGAACATGTCTATCACATCAAATTTTTTAGTATTAATCTACTCATCACATCTTAATTTTAATTTTTAAACATCACATCCAGGGCATTTCTGGAAGGTCAACACCAAAATACTCTTCCTTTAAATCTTTTAAAACTCAAAACCATAAAGGTTGATATTTTATTTTGTTCAATTTTTTAAGAATATTGTAGCAAAGAAAACTTAAAAATTGGAAATTAAAAGTTTGTTCCACCGTGTTGCATAGTTAACAAAAGTAAAGATTGCCAAGGGGGTAAGACCCGAGTTTAATTACAGACAACTACGATGGAAGGCAATTATGCTATGCATGATGCCTCTATAAGATTATGCTATGCATGAGACATTTATCTTCTCTCAATGACTATTTGACCGGGTCTTAGATGCCCTCAGGGATGAGGCTTATCTTTTTTTAAATATAAATGATTATGAATAGAACTTTTCCCAAGTTTGACTCTAAAGAAAGCAGATGCATTGACTCATTGTGCGTCATTAGGTTGAGAAAAAAATACGAGCAATTATTCTATATTCTTAATCCTTAATATCTGAATTTGGTTCTTATCCTTAAAAAAAACTTTGCATGTCAAAAAATTAAAAAATAAATTTACTTAAAATAATACCACTTTTCATTTATTTTCCAAAAATATGTATTTTCAAAAAATCCTCTTAAGTGGCCGTTAATTTTTTTAACAGCGGCCCAAAACTCGCACACATGCAGAAAGATGAGATTATTTTCGGTGACAGTGAAAAGTGAGATTATTTTTGAAAAAAAAGTGATGAAAAGATGGGATTATTTAAAATACTTTTCCAAAATAATATAGTGATATCAATTATATATTTAATCATACTACATCGAAAGATCTATAAATTATGTTATTATCTTGAATTATTATTGAAAATTTTTTTAAAAAATATTTTTAGAATTTAAATTACCAAATTTTAATTAATTTTACGGAAATGTTTATTAGTGTACGATTTTTTTAAAATAAATACTCTCTTCATCCACAAAATTTCTTCGTTACGATGTTTGAATAAAATTAGTTTTAATTTACTTGATATGATGATTCGTGTAAAGTTAAATAATAAAAATACATATTTAAAAACGAAATCAAATTAGAGATGACATAATTATATTATTTTCACACATAATAGGTATCAAATCTCTATTATAGAGCTTTGTTTTATAAGGTTTAAGGAAGGGGGACGATATGATAGTAGTTTTTTGCTTTGTTCGTAGAATTAGAGAACTCAAGCAATTACAAAGAAAATAGACATTCATCTATAGGAAATATAGTCATATTTTCAAAAAAATGATTTCCTACTACTTATGTCACCAAAGAAAATTAGATTTAGATTCTTTAAAAACTATTTTTCTCACAACAAAAAAAAACTCTAAAAGTTAGAATCCAAAAAAACATTGTCTTTAATAAAAAGATATACTCCCTCCGTCCATGTATGATCTTCCCATTGCGCGTTACGAGGCTTGACCGACTCTATTTTGAATTCAATTTAATTGATTATAGGAGTAAAATTTTAAAATAAAATTTATATAGTAATAAACTACATGAAAAGTTCTACAAAACTAGAGGTGACAAGACTATATTATTTTATGAAATGACTAGTAAAATTGAGTAAACAAAGTGAGTAAAGTTTGACCCTGTGAATAGTAACTGGGAAGATCTATGGTAGACAGAGGGAGTATAATATAACAAAATCTCGTTCCATCCCGTGCATGGCACGGGTAAGAATACTACGGAGTATATATATATATATATATATATAAAGTAGGGTTTTTTGCATGTGGTGTTGACACGTGGACCATGACGAGGCAGCTAACATAGATGGTTTTTCTTGACACGTGTCTGGTGACATGAGCGCACATCTGGACGGTTAAATACAAAGAGAAAGAGTTTTCGGACCTTTCTTCTCCCAAATAATTGCAATACCCGTTTCACCTTCATCCTCAGTTAATTTCCCATCCTATTGCAGTCGTCCTTTGTTCTTCTGTCGTCCGTCCAGTCGCCTGTAGCCGATGACCACTTTCAGCCGCCCGCGACGCAGCATCCGTGACATCGCTGCTGTTCGCTGGTCATCCTACTACATTCAACTCCATCTCACCCTTCAGGTACTATACTTCTCTTTGAAAAGTTTCAACATATCACTGGTTTTTGCCACCTATTTTTTGCCCAAATGTCTGGATTCCAAAATGCAAGAATCAAGATTGCACCTGATTTTTGTCTAATGTCTGAATTGTGCACGCTTTATTTATTCTAATTGAAAATGAATTGGTGCGGGAGAGTTGACTATAAGAGGACCCAATAAGTTGTCAAGCGCCACAATGGTTCGAAAAAGTGCAATATTCGGGAGATCTATTATGCGGTAATACTAATCCAAGTCCTTTTTTTCTTTTTTTTTTACTGCCCAATTTTTCATCATTTGCTCTAAGTTAAAAAGCAACTTAAGAATAATATGCAAGACTGCAAACTAAAGATAAAGGAGGAATTTTTGTGTGTGTTTTTTTGTAGCTGTAATAGTTGTGCCATGCGAATATATAAAATAGAGTATTTTAATTACAGGAATGCCATGTGGCAGTCCACATGCATCTTTGTTGGCAGTTTCCCTATGAGTAATCTATTAGTGACATGGCTTTGTGATAGGGTGTATCTAAAAGAGCTTAGTGCTTGGATATGTTTATTTCCCCAAAATGTTTTCCCTTCCCTTTTTTCCATCTTAGTTGTCTGTTTCTTGAGCAGTCATACGTTGCAGGCCTCTAAACACAATGCCCTGGTGTTTGGATTCTATGGATGGTGTTGTCCTAGGGCATTTTGGTAATATTCTATTATTCTATTTTTTAAAATGTTGTCTGATCAGTTGTCCTTGCATTTAGTTTGTTCGTGTTGGCGGGACGTACTCTTTTGTGTAACAGTTTTGAGGTGTGCTCATTTACAACGATGCATAGTTAATTAGGTTTTGTTTTACATTTCCGGAGACAGATAGGTTCCGTAGTTTACTTTTATCATGGCATGTATTTGTGATATATTATCTGTATCTTTATTTATGGATAAATGTTTATTATAAATCACAATATGTCAAAACTAATTACGTTTTAAAATGAATTTATTGATATTTAATTTATGTCATAATTTAATATTTTTTATGTAACTTTAGTCAAAATTTAAAAATATTGACATGAAAATCAAGTTGGGAAGAATGAAGGTTGGAGGGGGGACCAAGGAGTATAATGACGGTCAGGAATATGACCATTTCTCAATACAATGGCTCAAAAAAATTACAAAATGAACCAAATTTACAAAGACTAAATTAACTTGGAATCCACTTATTATATGGATCAAAATGAATATTAACTCTAATTTTAATATTAATTTTAATCATATTATATTAAATTCAATCAAATCAAATTTATTTAGGGTCCGTTTGGTAGATGGAATAGGAATTGAATTGGAATTGAAATTCCATGAAATTCAATTCCTTAGAATTGAATTCACCAATTTCAATTCATTTTTTGCACTATCAATTCTAAATCCACATAATTTTTGTGCTACCAAACACCAGAACTGGAATTGAAGTCCTCAATTCCAATTCAATAGTTTGAATTCCATGTACCAAACGGACCCTTAGATTATACGGTATACTAAACAAGACCTTAAAAAGAGAATCAGAATCAATCAAATGAAGTAAACAAGACACAATCTGGATTTATGCATTTTATGAAACAAAAAAAGAAAAAAATCAATATAACTGTTATTCGTATAAAAATAATGCTAATAACAACAATAATAACAATTTTAGGAAACAAGAACATTAATTAAACAATCCATTATGATTGTTATTATTGTTATTATTATTATTGTAGTAATTAATATTATTTCTATGATCATTATTAAAAAAATTACTTTTTTACATACTCTAATAGAATCTGATTTGAATAAATTGGGTCTTATACTCTTATATAAATAGATCCAATTTAATCTTCAAATAGATCTGATATAATTTGAATGAATCTGATGTGAATATATATAATATGATTTGAATGAATTGATATTTTCAAATAAAAATAAATAAGTAGAAAGAATAAAGTTGAGGAGATTGAGTTACTGGGGAATATAATTAGTTATTACTGTGACTTTTTTATTGAAAGAATTGGATAAAATTGAAATTTTCAACCCATTTAACACACAGGATAGACTTGGTTGAAATAATTTTTGACCTATTTACTTCATCTGTCCCAATTTTGGTTAGAAATTGAGAATTACAATTATAATTTCACGACATCTGAAATTATTTTATTTAGAAATTGGTACATCAATAAAAAATAAAATTTATAAATTAAAAAACTAAGTAAAAAACTTTTCAAAACAAGATGTGACAAAAATATTTTATTTTTTAAAATAATCAATAAACACACAAATAAACAAAAGTTATCGGAAAAAAAAAAATAAAATTGTAATCAAAATTGGCTGAACAAAATTCACATCACACAGAGAGAGAGAGAGAGAAACAAGCGATAGAGATGGAGAAGAAGATCGAGGCGGGGACGACGATTGGGAGGATGAAGGAAATCTAAATGTTATTCTGTTTGGATGCTACGTTAGGGTGTCCAAATTTACATCACCACAGTGATGTAACTTTCTTCACTACGTACCACATACTTGTAATACATAATACTGTGATGATAGGTCACATAAATACATAATACTGATGATTAGTCACATAAATACATAATTCTAACCATAAGTCACCTAAATAAATAATTCTGACGATTAAGTCACATAAATACATAATTCTGAGATGATAAGTCACATAAATACATAATACTGTGATGATAAAAGCCACATAGACACATAATGCTAACGATAAAAGTGGCATACACCAGAGTCCCATGGGTACAGCTTAGTGATTCATGAAGAACTTTAGAGAGGGCAATCTAGCTCGCTCACTGTAGGTGGTCTGCCCTGCCCACAAATTCCACGTCCCTTGGGTGATAAATCTTGTAACAAAGATTACATTCCTCACCTCCTCCTACAGTAGCAACAATATATAAAAAAACACAATTACGACAAATTTAAACAGCTCAGTGACAATAATATATAAGCACGAGTGATTGAAAACTGGATGGCAAGTGAAAAATCAATTAGCAAGAAAACAGACCATGAAAACATAAAGAAACCCCAACCAATGAAGCATTGACAGACATAATAATACCAGTTTTAGGAGAATCAGTCCCCAGGCTGTAGCAACGTGTATCTATCGATCCATGCCAACTAACCACCCTTTCAGCAAAAAAGAGCTCTGGAGGAGCAGCAGGATCGTCTTTTGGTCGGGCCTTGAAGTTGAGATGGTGCACAAATCCGCACTTAAGGGCAAAGGCTTGCAATTTCATTGTCTTCACAAGAACGTATCTGGGAAGCTGCTGGAAAGAAAGTAAAGATCAACAATAAATCAAATACAGATCATACAAAATAACTATTCCAAGAAGAATGGTTAGAATGAGAGAAACAAACAAACCCCAAGCTGTTGGCGGCCCTTATTGTACCAATTCAAGGATTTTGTTGCCTCTGCACGAAGTTGGCGCTGCTGTTCCTTTTGATGGTCCTTAAGACGTTGACCGGTCAGAGGAGGAGGTCCGCGAAAAAGACCTCCAACAGGGAGCACTGTCCGTCTAGAAATTAGGAACAAGGAAATATTAGGCCCCATGGGATCTTAAAACAAGTTGCTCTCTCAGCTCTTTTTAAGTGTTCTATGAGTGCTGAAACATAGAACTGAACAATAAGCCTACATATGTTGTTACATCAATCAATTGAATGACTAAAGCTAATTCGTTGCTTTGATTTATATTTGGGGGGGGGGGGGGG